GTGCCGCTTTGCGAGTGTTGGGTGCAGCTTCCCTGCTCGTGCTTTGCCCTTTTCCACTACCNTGTCTCTTCACGACCGAAGGGATTGGATCCCCAATTCTACCCTGACGGCTGCATTACTTGTGCGCTTGAAGCATCCTGGGATGATTTTCGCTGCGTTCATCTGCTCCTCCTTGAGTTCTTTCGCTCCCTTCTTATTTTCTTGCCATACTTCTCCCGCGCACTCTAGCGGCGGTACGATTACGCTCTTCAAAACCGTCAATTTGATGCGTGTATCGAGGTGCCGGTTTGCGAGTATTGGGTGCAGCTTCCCTGCTCGTGCTTTGCCCTTTTCCACTACCTTGGACATGTGCGCATTCCACGAGCAGTATTTTCCCTTCGTGAACTCGGCAACCAGGTTACGTTTGTTTTTTTTACCTCTGTTTTTTTTTGGCGGTAACCATAATGGTGGTCGAGTAGATCATGTTGTGCGGGGTCTAGAACCCTCACTCCGCGCAAGGGGGATGATCGCACCACGTTGTGTTACAATGGTCAAGCACCCTCGAGGCAGTTACACAGTGCTTACAACTATCGCAGGAAGTGAAAGCACCAGAAATTCAATGAGGGCAAACGCAGCTGTCATCCGTACGCAAGGAAGTAAGCACAACATGCCGAACACCCTGAGCAGGATGCCGCGCACCCTTGATGCGACTCGCCGAATATCTCACGGCGCTTCGCGCTTGGTGATGTGAGAGCCTGGTCCGGTGAGGACCCGGTGTGCTCCGTCCCGGCTTTGTAGGGATGCGAGGTCAATGGTCTAACGACTACGGCATGCACGACTATGAGTACACCCCCCCCCCNTCACTAGTCCCTTCACCTGTTTTCTCTTGGCCCTGACTTTTCCCAACTCTCCTCAGACCCCTCACTGAGGTACTGCTTGAAGACTTTTCTACGTTCCCCTATTTCTTCTTTCAGCTCGTCATCCCTTAACCGATACCCCACATCGTACCACCTTCTTTCCCACTACCCTCTCCACCGTTGTGTTCACTATGGGCTCCCACCCTTCAATCACCCTGGCCCCTGCTGCTTGTACGTCTACCTGTCCGTCTTCGACGCTTCTCAGCAGTTTCCTGAAGGGTTCTACACTACCAGCCAGTCCCTTCTGGAATTCATCCCGTGTCCCCTCGTCTCCCAAACGCTCTACTTTCCACCGGAACACTTTCCTCTGTTTCTTACTCTCCATCTTTCTAGATCGGTCGATGTTTGCCCATATGAGGAAGTGGTCGGTCGAACCTGTATCTATCGCACTTACGCGCAGCTCTGGCATCTGTGTGCTCCCCCCATCTACCAGGATGTAGTCGAGGATCGAGTATTCATTGCAAATTGCCCTTTGCCTGGTGAACTCCGGCTCATCGTATTCCCTCCTACCGTTCAACACCATCAGCTCGTTGCTTGCCAAGATTTCAAGCATCCTCACTCCGTTGCCATTCACTGTGTCTTCTCCGTGCTGCCACAATTCTTCCTCTCCCCGCTCCCCCGGTACCTTTTGCCATTGGCTTTCCTGGAACTCCTTTTTCACCACTACTTCCACCACGTCAAAAAAGTGTTCCTTGATCAGGAATCCGACTCCCCCGTTCCCCCTTATCTTCGGGTCTAAGCCCTTCTTTTGCCTTCCCTACCCACCTGAATTTTCCTAGTTTGCTTACCACGTCCACATCCTTCAATTCCCACGTCTCTTGGATCCCCACTTCATCTAGATCGCTGTTCTACTTGGTCCACTATTTCCAACCGCTTGCGCTCACTCCTTGCGAACCCGCACCCGTTCCACGACCCCACTTTCAGCTTGTGCTTTTCCCTATTGGAGATTTTGCGTACTATATCGTTGACCTTCCGCTCCTTCTCGGCGTTCTTCTGACTTGCCTGCTCTCCTCCCCCGCCGGGTCCCTTCTTCGCCTCCATTGCCTTCGCCTCTTGTCTCCTTACCTTCTCTGTTTCAATCATGTTCGCGATGCAAACCCTCCCTCCAAACTTCCTTACGTACTTCGACAGCTTCTCGATGTCAACCCCCAAGCACTCGTGGCTGCCTCCCTTGGTCAATTTCACCCGGAAGTGTTCATGCTCTCTGCCTACTTGTCCCCTTGCTAGGCAGTGCAGTCAGTCCCTGTCACAACAGTTCTTGAACTCTATCCTCGTCATATCCCTTTGAATCCCAAACAGCAGCAGCTCCAACCACAGTTTCTGCTTCCATCCTCCCAGTTTCTTCACCATCCTCATGATCTCTACGGCAACTGGACCGTGGCCACTTGTTTTTCGTGTTTTTTCAGGAAGGTATACGGAATACTCGGCCTTCCCTATCCGAGTGCCCGGTGGGGGTTGTGGTTCCCTTCAGTTCTTTTGCCGGCTCACCGACGGTAAATAGCGCCTCCAACATAGGCTCGTAGTCTAGATCCAACTTCACACCTCCTGGCACATGTACCCCAGTCTTGTGCCGGGCGCTCTGCTTTGTAAACACCCAAACGTCCCCCGACCACCCAATATATCATCTCCGAAGTCCCGCGGTACAAGCTACTTCCCTCCTGCGAGGTCATTTTCACCACATTAAGTTCAGGGACGACTTGCATCGCCTAAGATCCTACTCACACGCCGGAATGGAGCGTACACCAACGTCCAGCTTCTCATGTACGCTCCACCATGGGTTGCTACCCCACTGACGCTCCCGAGT